TTCTATGTCGAGCTTCATGCGATCTTGTCTCTGATTGATTTAGGGCTGACGGTATGCTTTTTTCGCCTTTTGCCTTCACTAACGGTGCGCAATAGAAGTACCCCTTGTCCCCGTTTCTCTTCAACTTTGCAATTGTAGTTGTCCTATTAAACGCTCTGGAAGGTTTCCAGGTATCTGGCGTAGAGCTTCTTTCAGGCAGCCGCGCGACTGACTTGGACAATGCTAATGATATTGCCTTGCTCGGTGATGACCCACACATCAAGCAGGTCGTTCTAAACTTCTTGGTTCTTGAAGCTTCCAGATATGATATGACCTTCGCTCTATCGAAATGCAAGGTCTTACCCCTGGACTGGCAGCTACCTGCTCCCGCGCTGATTCTTGAGGACGCGCAGCTTGAACAGTTTGAAAACTTCATCTACCTTGGGTACTGCGTTTCATGTGATAACACCATTGGAGGATAGCTTTCTCTCCGTATTGCCAAAGCCCAATCAGCTTTCGCTAACCTGAGGCATCTGTGGCGCAGTCGTGACGTTTCGTTCTCGGTAAAGGGCCTATGTTGGCACGGTCCTGTTATATGGTATCGATTCCGGGCCGATCCGCATAAATGATTTGCATCGAATTTCGGGGCTTAACAACAGTTGTCTGCGCAAGATAACTCGTGTGTGGTGGGCACACCACGTTAACAACGTCGATGTTAGACGTCGTTAATATCGCTGCGCCAATTGAGGTGGCTAGGTCACGTCCTACGCATGCGGTGAGCGCGTTTACCACTGCTCGCTTTATTCCTTCGTGCAGGGCCGCACTTGAAGAAATCACGCAGAGTCCAACCTACCACATGGCGACAAAATGTCAAGGCGCCGACTTCCAGTCTGGCTGCTGTCGACCCGTACTTCTTCCGAGCTGGGGAGTCCGAGATGAAGAATATCGCTGGTTGGAGACTCTTGAGGACATGGCACGTAATCGCTGGCAATGGAGCGCATGCATGAGTCGTTGCACGAATTCTACTGATCAACATCGTAATCTTTAAACTGGCAAAAAAGACAAACAACGTGTGAAAAGCACAAGCAATTCACTTTGTTTGTTTTCTTTTTTTAATCTTTGGGTTTATTGTACACATTCTTTCCATGGTTTCTAGATGGCTCAGTGTCTATTATCTAGACTGCTACAGTGATATATGTTGTCTTGTTTACCCTATGGTGGATTGCCACATAACTGATAAGGCAAGCAGTCGCCTGGTGGTGGTAAACCGCTGCTACTTGCCCGTCCTGTCTCTCAGGCTGAGGTCAACATACGTCACTCTGCGCTCTGGTCGGGACTTTGAAGAATATGACTCTCCAGCTACGACGCTTTTGCAGTTGTCTACTCATAATGTCTGTTTAAGGTATGTAAAGTTGGGTTCTCCATGGCGAGGAGGTGCTGACCGAACGAAGATGTCCCAACGATGCTGGCTTTTCCTCACTGTGCTTGACCCAATGGCACTTTTCCCCTGAGCTTTTCCTCGGAAGATTTAACCTTTCACTTAGTTTCCCCCTCTTTCATTCTTTGGTTTGTTTTTACATAGTTGACATTGTTTTAAAGGGTGATGTTGCTGCTACTGTACACAGATTTGATGCAAAATTTTATACATCGCTTTTTCGGTCAGCGTCGCACATTTGAAGTCAGTCGGAATACTTGTAGCTCGGGTTGGGTGTTGAGATGTTAATTTGCTAACGGACGTGAGCGATTTCTTCACAGTCGCACTGCGAACAAACCAACATCTCATCATCGCGCATTGTGAGATCAGCTTGGGGTCTTTTGCACGTGTACACGAGGTTAGCTTTGGTTTATTGATGCGCTGTCGCTTGGTCTTCAAATCACCACCACTGCCGCTGTTTGTTGGGCCGTCTATCAATTTCTGGTTGGAGCACAATTATAGAGTACTATGATACCGTTATTGTCAATGGTAATTAAAGCGAATGCTCAGCAACTTCGCTTCATCTCAGCCGCGTTCTGTTTGTGGTGGGCCAGCTTCCCGATCAATAAAAATGACGTTATGTGACGCGTTTAAATAAATAAATAAATACTTTATTTATTATTATTGCTTTTACCAAATAAGCCCCCGATCTTTTTTCATCATCGACGATACATTAAAAAACCCTACCAATGAGTACATCGAAACATTCGCCTCAACAATCCTTAAATGCTACCTCGCGCGTAACTGCTGTTAATGGAAACCGTTACTTTCGGGACCAGCCCTGTCTTCTGAAATGTTCGTAACTTGCACAGTTAGCCTGTAAGTAATGACTGCTTACGTTCGACCCCCCTTAGTCTAGTGGCATAAGCTGCTGGCAAGTGACGCAAACAGCTAATGTTCATGCACTCGATCCCTTATGGTGTCGGAGGATACGCACCACTGATGAGTCCCAATAGACATAACGACTGTCTTGGGCATTTTTGGAAGTGTGGAGAACTATCTGCGTTGAACATTCAATGGAAAGTACTTCTAAGATTACCTAGCCGAGTACCTCCGCTCATCACGCTACCTGAGATGGGTGCTCACTTTCTTTTCCTATCCATCGATGGCTCATCTACTTTATCTTCTGTCACCAACCCTTTTTAGTCACATTTGTCTTGAGCATTCATAGTCTTCGTTGCATTACGCGTCTTGATACAGGAAAGCTGTCTGTTTTGCCAGTTGCTTGCTCTTAGACCTCGAAACTCGATCAACCATGACAACTCTTGATTGATTGATCTTATGATTTGCCATTTGCTTCCTCACCCTTTTGATTTATTCTGCCAGTTTCTTCACATAACCACACACTTTTCATTAATTTTCGTACAGCTTGTCGTTTTAAATCAACAGACATAGTTGTTCCACAAATCTTGATCGGCACGTGCACTGATGTAACCAAGGAGTTTCTTAGCATATTTGATCAACTGTAGCCGAAGCAGCGATAAGAATCGTCACAGTTGCTCTGATTCGTGTCACCACGGGTACATATCCTTTTTATATAAAAACAGCCGAGTAAACGTCGTTTCAATCATAGCAATATCAGGACAGATTGGTGGTCATGTTGTAGCACCTGATTGACAAACCATTAACTGGTGTGCGACTCGGGCTTAGGGGTAGGTTGTTTTCTCTGACACCTCAGAGCCACGGCTTCAAATCGCGATCCTGCTAACTGACGAGTGCAAAATTGGTCGTGCAGTGCAATGTTTCGAGCGGGCGACGCCAACCATTCATATGGTCAAAAAAATCTGGTCTTATCGCTAGGTGAATAGATTTGGAGTCGGATCAAATGGCCTGGCGATTGCGGCACATCATGTGTAGGGCTTTCTACTCTCGCTTGTGACCCTTTCCCAAACCGCACATATCAACCCGATTAAGGATTTACATCGGCTTCTTCGCACTCTTCTACCTTTTTCTCGGCTAGCTACCTGGGTTGTCTTCTTCCCTCAACTAGGCACAGCACTCAAAACCCCAACACACATCGGTGTTGGTGGTGGTTGCAAGTATACCATGAACGTTGCTAATTCGTCTAAACTGTTTTAGTCCCGCAGACAGCCTAGGACCTACCGGCGTTAATGCTAACAAACGCCATTATTACTCACTCAGTATATCTATCAGAAATGGATAAAGTTTCATTGGCACTGTTTTCATAACGAATATGGTTACTGTATCTTCAACGCTTGTTGACCTTCTCCGGTCTTTTCGAATTCACGAGCAGTTTTTCAACCTTATGAGATCCGTTTTTTAATCGGACTGAATGTCTCAGTCTGTATCATTGCTTTGGGATCTGAGCCCACACATGCGTCTAGGAAACATGCGCAGTAACCTCTTCGGTGCATTGATCGCTGTCAGTGATACAACCGTCTAAATAGATGAACCAATCAGTCGCTTTCAGTGGCTTTTCATCAACTATGGAGATCCATGGTGGTTTACCTGGTCCTGCGACCGTTCTCCGCACTTCAGCGTTTCAAAGCCCATTCTGGATTGGACATCGCTGTCCGTCAGCCTGTTCCGTAGCAATTGGATTCACACAACCCAAGTTTACCGATTAATCTTTCGATGGAAAGAATATCCAATCCAGACTAGATAGATGGAGAAGATTCACTCGTGGTCCACGAATTTTATTGGCATAGTGATCAAGGCGTCAGTTGTTAACCACTAGACCCCAAATTTCACCCCAACTCATGTTATCTCCATCTGTTGAGTCAAAACGAGGACTAGCTTTTAACGAGAACTAGGTTTAAGGTACTAACTAAAAATTGTTTCAAGTGCTTTACGATATCACAACTTGTCTTTTCACATTCCAGCTAATTGAGTGCCGCATCCCTCCGTATCATTTGGGCTTACAGTAGCTCGCTATTGCCTTCACTGTTTTTGATCTTAGTTCCCAACACACCACTGTCTTATGCATTTCGCCACATGCCGGCCAGTGGTTGAAAGGACAGGGCGTCCGCCTTGGAATCTGGACGTCACCAACTCGAGCCTGCGTGGGGAACTGAGCGACCCTCGCACTATCCGTTGTCCACCCGCAACTGATGGTGATTGCGGAATAGCGAAGCGTCGGTACGACGTACTTGAGGGCATGGTTTCATGACATATTCTAAGGCATGCAAACGTCCTGTGGAATAGGGGTGCAGACGATGTTTCCGAAATCGCTGGTTTTTCATTTGCCCTTTCCAGCAGATTAAACTGGTTGCATGCCGCTTATGCGGCTAACATGCGACACAGTTGTATCGAGTTGGGCTTTGTATATGCGGTTATCTGGTTTGGTATTGATTCGCGAGACCGAAATGTCGCACGCACGCGGTTCGGGCGTGTGTGATGCTCATTCACGGTTACATTATCCCTCTAACCTGATTATTGACATCATTGTGATTAATCAATTTCTTGTAGTTGGTTGTATTTTTACCCACATCCGCACTACGTGCTCGCTTACAACTTTATCAAGGATGACTACTTTTTTATAGATGTTTCTCATGTTCATCTGTGTCATGCTTTTTACTCCTTACAGGATGTGCAAGAATCAGTATATGATAGTCAAGTTGCTCCCAACTGTGCAGAAGCTGGAAGGCCAGAAAATCCCAGTTTCGGTCCAAGTGAAGTAAGTTACTCTTCCTTCGGAACTTGTGTACTACAATCGCTCCTTTTTTATGGTCACAGGCCGAACAAAAGCATCATTCGTACTCCTTCGCAACCTAAGGACCTACGTGATCGGTGGCACACTGCTTCAATGGTTACACGAGTTTATTGTGGGACGAAAGTTTAGACTACAGGTCAATGACTACCTGACAGACTGGTTCCCATCGACCAGTGATGTACCTCAAGGGACAGTACTTGGGCCAGTATTATTTCCTATTCATGTCAACGATGTTCCGCAGCAGCTCCAGTCACCATGTGCACTGTTTGCAGATGATTTGTAAATCTGGAGGAACCAGGACGAGTGTGCTCGCCTCCTAGCGGAACTTTGATCGGCTCTCAACGTAGTCCACTAAAATGCAGCTCCCTCTTAACGCAAGCGAGTCGGAGTTCATCAGTATCACCAGACGTCCAGCCACTCGATCATACACCTTGGACAATCAGTTGCTTCACCCTAACACATCTGCCAGAGACTTAGGAGTTCTGTCGCGACATGATATGAGATCACTAGAAAATACGGGGAAATTGTACCGTGCGGCACTTCGTATGCTCTGGGCATTACGACGCAATTTCTCCCCAAGGTCCGAAGAAGCTGTCCCTCATCTATTTACCTCGCTTATTAAACCAATCCTTGAATACGGTGCCCCAGCTTACCATCCGATAACCCAGTAGGAAACTAAAAAGCTGGAGAAAATACAGCACACCGCAGCTAGATTGACACCCAGTCTACGGAAGCTTCCGCATGAAAACGTTGTGAAAGGCTCGCACTCTACAGACTATCCTACCGCCGAGTAAGAATTGATCTTATTATGACCCATCGACTACTACACTTGATTCCCTTCCCCATACTGCGGCCAACATTGCACATGCAGGATCCCTGTAACACCCGAGAATATCGTTACAAACTCAGGGTCCTCTGCATGAACAAGTTATCACATCAGTGTTGTACAGAACGAAGAAACGTAAACTTATGAAATACACAACCAGAAGGACTAATAGAGATCAAATCCGTGAAATGCTTTAGAAAACCTGACGACGATTATTTCGGAAATCTGTGTTTTTGTGAAACGGTGCACAAGCAATGCAAAATATACATCCTATACCCTGAAATAATGACACCAGTATAATTTCCTAACCAAACAAGGACAAAGGATTAACTGACCAAAGACTGCCGCTGACGATTCGCAGTTAAATGTTTTTAATTTTTCATATCGATAGAGTTGTACAGAAAGCTTTCTAATTGCTCTTAAATACAGTCTCAGTATTTGACGTGCGCGCGAAGTTTCCGAGCGAGCTGTGTTCTTGATACGAATCATTGCTAGGGTGGCAAATTATTGAGTATGTTTCCGGTTCGGTAGCTACGTTTGAATCAAAAGATAACCAACGCTTAGCCGCTTACAGTACGCCTAAAGTGTAAAGTTTGACATCTGGAGCATAATGCTCAACGATTGTCCCTCGTGTGACCAAGTTGGACTATGCATCCGGAGAGAAATCATCCTGCAAAAACCTGTGGCAAGTGGACAATCAACCGACCAGCGATTATCATGATGTCGACAGTTCATGTTCCGCTTCACAGCTTAGTGATGAGAGTGTGCATTGCTATATTTCCCGTGGTTCACCAGCGATACTGAATTTACTGGGGCTTACGAAAACGCAGATACCAAGCAGATTGAAGGCGGAAGCGCAAAGACGCTTACCAGAAGTTGAATTGGACATGGCCAATCTTCTGGATAGACTAAAAAAGTAATACCAACGGTAATTTTACGTCAGTGTGTTAGTATATTACATCGGGAATGAATCGGAGCAAAGCGACAATTCTTTTAGGAACACTGACTGGCTACACCCGAGACTTACGATGCAGATCGTTACCAGATAGCTTATGGCCACAGCAGAGTACACAGCGGTATGTACCAACGTTTGAGTACTTGGATGACAGCTATGCTACTTCTTGAACATTTTCAAAACAATGCGAACACTGTTTAGAAAGCCGTATGTTTAACAGTGATCAGCGGGACTTAGTTGATGTAGAATGGCTGTAGTTGTCGCGCCAACGAGGCGGTAAGCGGCGAATATATGATATTGCCACCTGTCAATGCTTATGGTTGCGCAAAAATCGTACATCGGGCAGCAGATTATCGGACTGCTCGGCTACACGGAGAGATTATAGTGAACACGCCATCACATTCGCACGCTGTGCGATTTCCCCCATCAGCTACTCAAACTAGACTGTGCAAATAGGAGATAACATCTAAGTACACACTATTTTATTGTACCACTTGTTTATTAATCATTCTACCTGGTAACCGTATTGATGGTAGTTGCTACGCTATTCGTTTATTGGTTTCGTCCAACTATTGATGCCTAAGATTTAAGGCTGTCATTTATGTTCACGTCTAAATGTGGAAGAAAACATCAACAGTTCGTATTGGGTACTTATTCTCATGCCAGAGAAAGTGTTTGTTAGCCTGACCTCCAAACGAAACCCATGCACATTTATAGTGCTATTGTTCATGAGGTTTAATATGGCTCTATCCAGTTTGTGGCAGTTCATACTTAAGTTTGGACAAACACATGTGCATATGTTGTATTCTAACTACCATTGAATACGGATGACTCCAGTCCATGTATATCGAATAAATTCGACGAGGATATTCATACCGCTTTTGTACGGCCAACTTAGTGCTAGAAAGCGGCACTCGGACAAACCGAAAATAACCGTATCAGGACAGGAACAAGGCGAGTTTATGATGCACTGTTGCTTTCAGGTGTTGTGAATCAAGAATAAAGTTAATCAGTGCGAATTTCGCGACCTGATCAAGGGAGTGGTTGCCCAGGTGCAGGAGAAGGCACTATTGCACGCGGAAGAGAAGTACCATATGTACGCTCCTATTCTATTTACTAACTTAGATCAATAAGGCGGTGTATCTGGTACGTTCGCCTGCGTGTTGAGTATTCCTGCATCTCAGGGTTTAGATGTTGATTGAGTTCCCCGGTGTGGCTGTACCTGACGTGAATGTTGACAAGATGCCTACTTGTCTAATAACCTCCACTTCGATTGCTGGCTCCAGGTGACAGTCCTCGTGACGGTGCTAGGCTCAAAGAGTGGTTCCATGCATCCTGTGTGGAACGGGCTACGACTCAGCCACCATCTTGTGTACGTCTGGTGTGCATGATTTCCTGCTTGTTGAAGGAGTGTGGGCCGGCTCCGTTAATGAAAGGTGGCTCCCATCCGCATGCCTCCCGGTCTTATTCCTTCGGGTTTACACTGGATATGGGGTGTGTGGGTGGTGCAGCACAAGCCACCCATGGTCCCGCTGTTGGCGCAGGCGTCCTGTGGCTGTCTCCATTGAGGCCACAGTGACAGACAAATCCGGATACGAATGGCACTAATCCGTATATATATATATAGCATCATCATTATACATGTTATATATATATATATATATATATATATATATATATATATATATAGTCCCAGATACTGTATCCTTGGCTGTTTGGTTTTAAGTGCTCTTTCAGGATTTTGCAGCTGTTAAAAATGAGGATCTGGCTTTTTCCTTCGCTTTTCTCAATGGACCCTGAGAATGGTCCAGACCCCTTGCAGCTAGAGCTAATTGAGTTACACAGTAATAGTGCATGCCGCAGTCGGTACCAACTACTCTCATCAATTTTTTGCTGTCAGCTGGATAAAGACAGATTCCAGGCGATTCAAACATTTACTACGAACATGCTCAGCTGGTTTAGCTCGACATACTTGTGTGAGCAGACCATCTCGGTTTTTAATTTTAACAAGAACCGGATGAGGACGAGACTAAATCATTCTCACTTACGTAATATCTTGCGTATAAAACCCAGTGCCTTTGAACCTGCCGTAACCAGTTTACTGCAGACAAGTTTTCATTTTCACCCTTCACATTAAAAGTTTGCAATAAACTTTTGTTGCATATGTCATTTTTGCTTATGATCTTCGCGTCCAACTTAATGTGGCCCGTCACATTTTTACCTCATAAAATGTGGCTCTCCTTGCGAAAACTTTGGACACCCTTAGTCTAGATCAACCGCAACAGGATATTTAGGACATGGACACACCTATCTAATGACATCCTTATATCCAGTCCGTCGCTTCTGTCTGCTGCTCTCTCTGTAGCCGATTGCTCCACCTGCGTGGGTATTCGCCCAACCTATCTGCAGATCTCACTATACTCTCACTTTATGTTACCGGACCCTGAACATGATCGCGCTGGGACGCAGATCTGTTTCACCCGCGTTGCGTTGTATTCACCACTGTTTATTAATTCTTTAATGGTTACCGACAATCCATTTTTGGTATAATCGTCATTCCGATGGAAATATGGTGGCCATGCACTCCGATGTATTCTCCTTCATTTCATGCCTATCATGATCGTTTCACACCATCGATGCTTCGATGTATTGTAGCTAAACAGAGTTGAGCTCATCGGAATGTCACATCATGCTTAAACTTCCTGTTTGCTTGATAACATACCACACCAACCATTTCTTTGGCTATGACTGATTCACGACAAAAGAACAGATCCAATCACTTTACGGCTGCCTACGAACGGTCGATGTTTGGCTAGCGCGACTCCATTAGCGTAGACCAGCCCGGGACATTATTGTCGGCAGAGTGGTGTTAAGTTTACGCATTGGTACCACGTGAGTATCTGAGTGGGTGGATGTCTGCAGGATTTCATAGTTTTCTCACTTGTGCTCTGTTTATTCCGGTACTCTCGACTGCTCACTTTATCTAATGCAGTAAGTTCGTTATCATTGCAGTGAGCACTTGTAATACTACACTGGGTCAACGGTGGTTGCTTTCGATCCAAATGGTAACTCTTTGAACTATGCTTACCAAACTAAAGAACACTTAAAGAGCCGCACGCGACAAATAATACACACATGCACCTATATACATGGGCCTTACAGCATCTTTTGTGCAGGTCACATGCGTGCTTACAAACTGCCGCCTGTTTGACGTGTGTCTGCATTAAGGCTACCGCCGTTTTCCTTTTGATACCTCACTTCCCTGGCTACCGGCTTGTGAATTTGTGTTACATGCATGCTACAATCGCTTCATTTCCATCATCGATACTACTTGCCACCTGCCCCACCAATTTCTAGCGGGATTGTCCAAGTTTGCTTGGTTAGAATAAGCGGAATTTACTCAACGGCTTTTGGTTTAGCGCCATTGAATTCACCGAAATCGGGGCACCGAAGCTCAGTTTATTGCATCTTTTCGGTGATCTATGTTCAAGAATTCCGTAGTTCGGCCTTGGGTGGTTTTATGCTCAAATCGCTGTTACGACTTTTCCACATATCAAGTTGGTCCCACAACCCAACACCTCGGTGTTCACTGCTCATCACATTGATCATCAGCGAATCAGCTACTTTCCTTTTTCTTCTTTTTAGGAAGATCCTTGGTGTCCCTGCTGCACCGTACGCTTTTCTTCACGAGAGGAGTTGGAGACTCATTTGCAATCTTGTCTACAATGAACACTCCGCCCACATGTACTTCATCTTTCCTGCCCAGTGTTCCCGTGTGTGACCATTTCATCCCCACCATCTCTCTCTAAGTACCGTCACCTCGTTTCCTGTGCCACCACGCGCTCACTTCACGGCCCCACAACATTTGCCACCTAGCCCTCATCACTCTGTCGAAGCTTTTTATCCGCATGATTTCATCAAAAGGACACCATATCTCTCAGTCACAGTAGCCCTTGGGGTCTATCCTCTCCCATGTCATTTCATCATTCTCGAGATTTTGTGCTGTCATCATCTTCATCCTATTCATTTCCTTCGTTGTACCCTGTTTTATTTGATGAGCCGCTCTTTTCTCATTTAGCATACCTGCTTTAGCCTCCTTGCCTGCCTCATTGGGACGTTTTATTACCAGAAAAATCTTTGACGCTCTTTCCTCCACGTATCTTCGTAATCATACCGTCTTTGGTGATCTCTCTGGCGCACCCAACCACTTTAGATTCATGTGCAAATGTGACTCTTCGCGTAGTTAGGTCATTTTGAGGGATTCTTTTGGGTTCTTTACCTCTGTCCTCATTGCGTTATACCCGCCGCAGCTCTCTTCAATCCGGGGCACAAGCGAAAAGGCAATTCCGTTACATTCATATTGCTGACCAACTGACTAAGCTCATCGATCTAGGAAAACCATCACGTGACTCTGTTGCAGTGTCAAGACTTCTTCTGATCGATTTACGAGCACTTATTCTGCTTTTTTGCCCTCCTCTTATTTCATCTCCCTATCGACTACTAACTTGTTCCCGAGATGTAGTGGATCTCGTTACCATAACCCGTGCCTCCATAATGTCAAAATAAAAACAAAATAAACTCACAAAGACACTGTTGGTTCACAGGTTAAATTGTCAACAAAGTAATAAATAATAATGTGTCAGCTGTACGCCGCTTTGCTGCCGCGCGACCACCACCAGTCACGCGTGGACTGTATACCGCGAGGACGCCCGCCCCTACGCGGATTCGAACCGGTGACCTTATGGTTGCAAACCAAACTTGCAGGCCACCGGCCGACTGTCAGCAAAGTGGTGTGGGTGCAATCAACAACGCGACCACGTCGCGTCGGATAAGGTTTCTACTCACTGATGCTGGTTTCGAGAAAGAAGAATGGAAAGAAAGCATCAGCGCAACGCCGGAACACCGTGCCGAGGCTTAGCCTTCACGCGATCACCACCAGTTGGGCGTGGGCCCGCTGCACCTCGAGGCCGTCCGCACTTAAGCGGACACAAACCGATAACCTCCGTGCCACAAGGCATACGTCTAATGCTTTGGGCCACCGGCCGATCCCCAGACTTTCATTTATCAAGCGATTCGGTCAACTTCTTTGTACCGTCCCCTTAACTCATCACTGTGAATCTTAGACGATGTACGTTAGATTACTCTGTCAGCAGGATACGAAACGCGTCATCTAGCCTACGTAACTGGCGCAATTACAACATTCAATCTTGTGATGTGACAGGGTTTTCGATGCCAGACATAAACCATTGAACATCTGCATTAACCACTGCAGTAGATTGCATATGAGAAATGTTACTCACGCATCTTCCTCGGAAATCAATGGGCTTCTTGTTCATCGTTAGCAAGCACCGAGATCATCTGGCTACTGTCACCCTGGATCTCAAGGGGAAGACATAGATCATGGTAACTCAGGTTAGGGGCGTCAGCAGCAGTACATCGGCCATTTGAGATGATGCTTCGCTGCTCTGCAACCAGGATGACCTGCGGAACGATGGTTAGTGGGATAGAACAGGGAGCTAACGTAAAACCTTGTCGCCCTAAATAAACATTTAGAGGCAAGGAGTCCATGCCTTGTTACAATAACATCGTTACTAACGGCTGACTATTGTGTAAAAACAAGGCGGCATCAGCGAGACAGCTTTTTTGCGGCTTTCACTGCCCTGCATCATAAACGGCCATTACCCCGCAGTTAACTCAGCACCAAACCCACATTTCATGTAATCAGTTTCTTTGAGAAATTTCAACAGAGCAAGAGCAACAAGTATTTCGCGAGATATACTGAATTCCGCTTATGTAGTGTATTCTCAATCACTCGCTTACAAACGTACAGTGGGAGGATTTAGTGAGTACGTGACATGGAATCAATAAAGCTGCCAATTGGAACCTTGGGCGACCAGGGTTATCGCTTCCAGTGGCTAACCCTCTTACCATGGAAAGGCTAAGCTGGACACGAGGTCAATTTGCTTGCACGGTTTGGGCTTCAGCCGCCGGATTGTGGAAGCCTCGGCAAACCGGGGCAGTGTTGGACTGTTCTGTCTACTGATGATCTTGAACAAGTTACGGGAGTCTTCGTGGGCATTACAATCGAGTAGGTGTCAAGCAATAAAGCTGCCAGGTAGCCTAGGACCGCTCATCGTTAGGTCTCGGGAAACATGCTCCATAGTCCTTGTAGACAACCTCTCAATCCGGCCAATGTACAAGCTACCGCACTTACAGTTAACTTGGTGAACGCTTCTAGACGGTGACTTGAGGGGGAAGTTTATCTAGATTGGATTGGTGCAACAACTTTCTGGTTTGGTGCAATAGCAGTAGCTCAGCTGCGTAATAACACCTCTTTATGGATTGCGTAGACGGTGACAAGATTTTATCCGTTTGTTCGCCTTTGAAAGGTTGGGAATATCGGGTTGTTTCATCTTACGGTTATCCTCCCCATATCTTGCTATTAATTTACTAGGGTAACCATTATCGTGTAGTGTGGATATAATGCACTACCGTTCACCAGTGATTGACTCTTCGGAACAAATTTCGCGTGCTCTTGTAAAGCAGGTGCGAGCCAGAGATCGCTTGTACTTCATCTGATAGTAACGGTTAGAGCTTAGATACTGCCCTGTCCAACTGAGTTTGTGATAAATCGACCGCATAAGCGGTCCATAAAGTCTTTTCTTTAAGAAAACATTCAAGAAGTGAAACATCTCCGACTATTTCCATGGTGAAATTGATCTCCGGATAACATTGGTTTAATTCCTCCAGCATGCTCTCTGCCTTCTGTACAGTATGGACGACTAAAAAATGGTCGTTTACCTACCGGGCATGGAACTGCGCCTTTTCTATGGTTCGTCGTTGGTTATTTTCTATATGACCCATGTAGATACAAACTAGAACAGGTCCAAGTGGGCTGCCCATCGCTACGCCTTCGATTTTCCGGTAGAGGTCATCATCAAAGCTAAATTGAACATCCTTGGTGCAGGTGCAGAGTAGGGCTTTTAAGCGGTTTGCTGGAAAACCAGCCTTGCTTGCATGTGTACCTGTGATATTCAATGTCTCCTCCAGCGAGACATTTGTGAACAGTGAACATAAGTCGAAAGGCACTATACCTTTGTCATTCACATTTAGCTTCTGGATTTTGTCAACGAATTCGAATGTGTCTTTCAAACTATGCACAACCAATTCAAATCTGATAGGCTCAGTTGCTTTGGCCAACCATCGTGCAAGCTTCTGGTGCGGCGCACCAACCTTTTCTTTATTAACCTTCGTTATTCCGTACATGCGCGGGAGTTTCGAGCCAGGAGGACGTAGTTACTGTGTCAATTAACCCCTCTTTGTGTAGTGTTCGCAGTACACGAACTATGGATTTTTCAACCTTTTCAGTTTTGTGGCGCCCTGCTAGATCTCGAACGAATCTAGCCTCATTTGAAAGTAGAGTTTGCATTTTTTTTAACGTAGTCTTGTTTACTCATTAGGACAATATCAGAACGTTTGTCAGGTCTTAGAATCAATAGGTCCTCGTTTTGACCTAACTCCACCAAAGATTGAAAGGGCTCCTTTGTAAGAATTGTGTATTTTTCAGCTTGTGCAACTTAGAATTGATTCGCCGAGTCTACTGCCTTGGCCTTAAACCATCTGCTTGCGTCTTCGTTTGCCGGTGTCAAGCAGGAGAGTTGTTCTTAAAGATACTCAAACTGAGCCTCGATCCCTATTTGATCAGAGAAGTTACATCGAAGTGACAACGCTTCTAATTGCAGACGACTGAGTGGGATGTTGGACAAGTTTACCACGTATTTTTCAGGATTAGATAGCATTTGCTCAGTCAAACATTCGGGAAAGAGTTTAGAATTTACTCGTTTTAATTTGTAATTCCCGTAGGTATTAGTAGAACTTCATTCGATATAGCAGGTTTAGTTTATTCATTAGTGTTTTCACGCATCCTATCCTGACTCTCAGCTGGGTAATATGATGAACCGAAGCTTCAGTCTGTAATTTCGTGTATCGTCGTAGATTTCGTGAATTCACTGGCGACTTGTCATTACACAGCGAGTTAAGGAAACGACGCGGGAACATGGACGTACGCATACACTCACTGTAGGCATCCATGCAAGCGGCTTCTCACGACATGGAACAACGCAACGCCATTAGATTATCCAGTGACCGAGAAGTATCAGACGGGAGGCGTTCCTCCAACACTGCTCCGGTTTGCCGTGACTTCCGCAATCCGGCGTCTGAAGCCCAACCTGTCCAAGCAAATTGACCTCGTGTTCAGCTTAGCCTTCCCATGTTAAGGTACAGGATAAGCCAATGGAAACGATAACCCTGATCGCCCAAGGTTCCAATTGGTTGCTTTATTGATTCCATGTCACGTACTCACTAAATCCTCCCACTGTACGTTTGTAAGCGACTGATTGAGAATACAGTAAACTGAATTCAGTCTACCACGTCGAGCGAAGCACGACGAGTCACCCGGACTCCGCTGGTGTCACCCGCCACCAGCAATGCTTCACAGGGAGCGGTTATCAAAGACTTGAAGGCGCCTCAAATGTTTCACTCCCATGGAGTAGAACGGCGCTCTCTGTGGCCTTGTAAACACGATCTTTCGGACCGAGAAAAACCTTCGGATGTCACCGATTTCACAGAATCTTGAAGGCGGCTCTAGCTTTTGCAAGACATGAAGTGACTAGTTGTTGTGCGTCCATCGTTGTTGATACAGTCCGCAAGGTGTGAATTGATAAACTACCTCGAATTCCTCACTATCCAGGGTCAAGGGGTCATCAAATGGCTGGTAGTCATGTAACAACACTTTGAAGGTGTGCAGCGCATGTCGTATGCTTGTCTACCCTAGATAAATTATTCAAGGATGTGTAGGTGACCCCAACATGGTTAGAAAGCAGGACGACATCGTCCACATAATCGGGATGAAGTAGTCTTTCACCAAACAGCAGCACCACAACGCCTGTATCGTGAGGCTCCGCAACGGAACATTCCAAGATGCAGTCCACGAAGAAGTTGAGCAAAAATGGGAAAATTAGACAACCTAACGAACGCCACTTGTTGTCGGAAAGACATCCGAAAATCACCGTGGACCCTGACGCGGCCAGTAGTGTTCGAGCATAGAGCACGTAAAATGTTCGCCTATTTTGAACAGACTAGACCAATCGACTGAGTCGAATGCACTCTTGAACTCGAGGAACACAGCTAATGTCGGTACGTTTGGCGCTGCTCTAGCACCTGCTGCCTAGTGAATATATGGTCTATACAGTCCTGAGCGGAAACCTGACTGCTCTTCCCTAATCCGTGATTCCCGTTTCGCTGAAAGGCTATGAGCGACTATTGCGGCCAGCTATTACTTACGTAATTAGCACAGTCGGCGCGACTGCCCCTCTTGTATATTGCCACTATAATCGATTCACTCCAATT